CCTTTCTGCCATATCCCCTACTTTGAGAAGTGCACATTCCCTCAGGGTTCTTGGAGCTCTGATAATAATATTACATGAGTGTCCCTCATGGCGATGCTTTGGGATCTGCCAGTTTATAATTTCCTGCCAAAGATTCATCTCATCTATCCCCATAGTGTCACTGTGAGGTCAGAGAAAGTGGCAGGATGGTTCATAAGGCTGATGACAATGGGAAAAATGGTGCCCAGAAAAGGCATGGTACTTGACCAATGTAAATATCTGAAGTTGGATTTGAACTCTCATCTTCCTGACTCCAGGCCCAGTGTTCTATGTACTATGGCTTGCTTCTTGAAGAACTTCCTGGCTATTCCCTACCATCCAAAAAACCATCTCCCTGGGAGTGACCAGCATGGAAACATAAGGAGAAATGCTGACTTCCCACTTAGACAAGAAAATTCTACTCCTAAACCTTCAACCATAGGAGTTTGGTTGTTTAAGTAGAGTACCCAAAGTGAAGGGCTCCCCGGAAGCCTGCCTGCTCATGAGGCTCTGGCAAAAGGCCCAGACTGGGGTAGGGCCTGGGGAATCCATTCCCACCTCCTCCAGCACCCCTCAGAGAATCTCAGGGGCAAAGCTTGCCAAGTACTGGGGAATGGGGATAGCCAGGAGGCTCAGACTGTCCCTTGCCCAGTGATGATCAAGCAGCCAGCGGCATTGCCAATCTGGCACTTCCCAGTAATGCCAGGCCCACTAAAAATAACTTGCCTCCTACATGTGCCTGATGTTTGCTTCAGAGTAGTCTCTGTCTGTACCAGACTGGCATTCAGAGGGGTAGAACTGGGGCCCTGGAGAACTAGCAGCTTGAGAAATGGAGTTCTCCAGGCTATGCCTGACATCAAACCTGGACACAATGATGGAGTGCAACCAGGAGTTTCTCTGGGCCAATGCTACCCAACTTCGCTACTAGAAGTACTGAGAAAATTGGGTCAGAAGTAAAGGTGAGGAAAAGGACTAAAGCATCATTTGAGGGGAGGGGGAAAGGGTCAGGCACTGCAACAGGGCACTAGAGAAGGAGGGACAAGGGCTTGGGGGGGACACTGCGAGAGAGGAGCAAAAGCTGTGAAGACACTGGAGGGGAGGCATGCAGGAGCTGAGCTGGAGTAACTGAGAAAAGAGAACTGTGCCTTCTCTTCCTTTTAATAATATCTAACATTGGGGCAGCTAGATGGTACAGTGGATAGAGTGCCCTGGAGTCAGGAGGACTTGAGTTCAGATGTGGCCTCAGACACTTACTAGCTGTGTGACCCCGGGAAAGTCACTTAACCCAATTGCTTCCCCTCAAACAATAATAACTAGCATTTACATATAGCATATTAAAGTTTACAAAGCATTTTATATATGTTTTCTCATTTGATCCCCATAACAAGTTCATGAAACAGTTGTTATTATTGTTCCCATTTTCTAGGTAAGGAAGTCAAGGCTAAGACAAGTTAAGTGACTTGCCTAGGGTCACACAGCTAATACACAGTTGAGACAGGATTTGAACTCAGATCTTCTTGAGTTCAGGTCCACTGCTCTATCCATTATACCACTTAGCTGCCTGCCTTTCTATTGTTACCAGGCCAGCTTCACCTGATACAGTAGCAAACTCAATAAATATGCTAAAAAGCTTTGATGATGAAGAATTTCTAGGATTGCCTCATACTTCCCTATCAGTTGCATTGAAAGTTGGGTTTTGAAAACCAAAGCTTTGCATAGTAAAAATGATAACCACATAAAGAACTTAACCAAGAGAAGTGACTTCCCACTGGAGGTCTCAGTGGGCTCATCATTGGGGTGAGCTCACAAGCTCAGAGCTTCTCAGGAGGCTCATTCTAATTCAGCCACAAGTGGTTACTCTACAGAGGATCCGTTTCCCAGTTGTATGAATTAAATTGAGCCTTCACCATGGACAGAGCAAGAGGTTGTGGGAAATCAATCAGGGGAGGGTTGAGATTAGATCTGGAGGAAGAACTCTGTGCCAGGAAAAGGTATGAGACTTAGAGGCACAAAGATGGAGGGAGAAGCTGTGGCATTTCCGTCACTGCAAAAAAGATCACCACCACCCCACCACCCCACCACCCCACTCAGTGGCATAGCACCTACCCAGACTGTCTGACCTGAGGGGTGGGCTATAATTCACAGATTCAGGGCTTCTGGCAGTAAGCAGGGTAGAGAAAGCAACCAGATTACCTCTGGAGTGCCCTGCCTGCCTAGGAATACTAAACTGCTAAAAAACAAGAGCTTTAAGATTTCTCAAGAAGCTGAGAAGATGAAGAGGGAATCTCAGGGAAATGTGTCCCTCGCTGCATTCATAACAGTGCTAGGCACATAATTAGTGCTGGCGAGATACTTTGTGGAGCTGCATGAAACTCTTAGGAAAACCATTTATGTCCTTAAGCCCAATTTCTTGTGGCAAACACTCTCATCTTTTCTTCTCTGATTTTTTTTTCTGTCCTCACTTTTCTGTTCTCATCCTTTCCCCTATTCTCCTCTCCATTCTCCTCTCCTTTCCACTCCTTTTTATGTCTTCCCTCTCCTTTCCTGACCTACTTTCTCCTTTTTCATTATCAGGACCATATTACCTAGAGTTAGAAGGAATTTTAGGTATCCTCAAGTCCAATCCCTTCTTTTTACAGCTGAGATCAGAGAGGTTACTCATCCAAAGTCATACAGCCAATAAGGAGCAGAGCTACTAAGGTTTTCCACCTCCAAGTCCAGTCAGTACCCTTTCTGATACACTATAGCTGCCATATACCCCACCTTCAGTCTCCTCCCCACCTTCTCTGAATATTTTTAATTAAATTTATTTTTAATGGATAAAAGGTTTATTTCCTTTGCCTCCCACATAGCCAAATCTTTTTTTTTCCAACTCTCTCATAAAGCTGTAATTTGGGTGGGGCAAATGGAGCACAGCAGTCATTTACTGCATTCATGCCCTTTGAGTAGTGTAGAAACAGGAGCTTAGCACCATGTTAGCAAGAATAAGAAATCAACTGAGAAGCATCCCACCCAAACAAGTTCCTCTCTGGAATTGCCAGTACACCTTTCCCTGTAGCTTCTCTGGGACTTGAATTAAGGCATTGCCACAGAATTGGGAGCCCACTTGGTGCTGATTGCCCCAGGTGCACAAACTCGGGAGTCACAGCACAGCTCTCCCAACCTCATCTCCATTTGACCACTTCCTGATTCCTGCCCAGTGCAAAGGAATCAATAAGCAATTTGAAGAATGGCAGCAACAGGAAGTGAAAGCAGAATCAGGGGAAGGGGAAGTGAACGATGATGCTCAGAGCTTTTCCTTGGCAAGGAAGTATTATCTGAGAAAACAGGTGCTTGCTCCCTTTGGCCACTTTTCCATTAATATGGTATAATTACTTCCCAAGCAGTAGACATTTAGACAATTAGAAGGCATAATTCAGGGAGGATATTTAAACCACCCTCTTCAATCAGACTATACATTCACTGTAACAAAGAATTAACTAGAAATTATGCCAACTACCTATAGTGGAAATAGTCATTTGGAAATTTGAAAGGATTCAGCCCACTTTGGTCCCTTCTTTTTTTCCTTCCTTTTTTCACCACCACTAAAAAGCCAGCTAAATGATCTTGGGCATTTTCCCTATCTAGGTCTCAGTTTTCTCATCTATAATATGATCAGTTGGATTAGACCTGGCTTCTCAACTTCTTTTGTGTCATGCATCCTTTTGTAATCTGTTGAAACTAAGGCCCCCTTCTCAAAATAAGGTCTTTAAAATGCATAAAATCCAATCTATAAGATTACAAAGGAAACCAATCATTGGTTTTGAATTGGGGTTGAAATATAGTTATTGAACATTTTTTGTTAAATAAAAACAAGTTCGTGGACCCCAAATTAAAAATCCCTGTCTACTAGAGGGTCTCTAAGTGATGTTTCACTGAGTCTAAGTTTTATTAAGGAACACCTTCACTAACATCCAGCGCTAATACCTGAGCTGGGTATAGACATAGCCTCAAGTTTTCAAATCTATGAAAACAGATTACAAGCTTTGGGAGGTTTTACTATACTGGAAAGATTTCAAGTATGGGGCCCCCAATAAAGCATCTTTGCAGAGGACCTTGCTAGCTAAATTTTTGAAGATGCACATCACCAGAAGAGTAACTCTTTCTTTCTTTTTCTTTCCTTCCTTTCTTCCTTCCTTCCTTCCTTCCTTCCTTCCTTCCTTCCTTCCTTCCTTCCTTCCCTCCTCCCTCCCTCCCTCCCTCCTCCCTCCCTCCCTCTCTCTCTCTCTCTCTCTCTCTCTCTCTCTCTCTCTTTCTTTCTTTCTTTCTTTCTTTCTTTCTTTCTTTCTTTCTTTCCTTTCTTTTTCTTTCTTTCCCTTCTCTTTCTTTCCTTCCTTCCTTTCTTTTCTTTCCTTCTTTTCCTTCCTTCCTTTCTTTTTGCCTTCCTTTCTTTCCTTCCTTTTTTCCCTTCCTTCCTAACTTCCTCCTTTCCTGTCTTCCTTCTTCCCCCCACCCCCGAGCCAGCCACAGCCATTCACAAGGAATTCAAGTGGTTCAGATAACTGGCCAATTGTAGTGGTGCCTGTGGGTTGCTACGTACAGACTCCACATCTATGGGACATGTTTGCCCGCAAGCTCTGGAAGAACACAGGGTCCATACATAGCTTACCCATAGGCACAACTACTACTGGTCACCTTGAGGGGCTTAATTCCTATGGGCCCTTCCTTTAGTGGTACACATTGATTGGTATAGGTTTTGTGCTGACTCATGCTGCTAATTACAGGAAAAGCCCAGGAGCTGAATGTTGTTTTCTAGACTTAAGAAAATGATGGAGGAAATGTTAATATTGCAGATTATACTTAAAAGTGTTTCCTGCCTGTGTGCATTTTTTTTGGAGAGCCAGTTGTTAAACATTTATCAGCCTACCCCTGTTTGCACCTGTTTCCTGTTTTTCCTTCTGTCTAATGTCGGCTTTCTTCTTTCTCTCCTTTTGTCACTTCAGGCTTGATCATCCACGAGGGGCCGTCTGTGTATCGGATCTTTAAACGCTGGCAGGCTGTGAACCAGCAATGGAAAGTGCTGAACTATGACAAGACAAAGGACATTGAGGACCAGAAGGCTGGGGGCAGGACAAACCCCAGGACCTCTTCATCCACACAGGCCGACACTGCTGCCTCCTCAGAAGAGGTGGCTGTGGGCAACCCTGCCCAGGGCAATGGCGGTGGTGGCAGTGGGAACCGGACCCCCAGTCACCCCTCTGGCCCTCTGGCCGATCACCACTGTGCTTACACTATCCTGCACATCTTGAGTCACCTGAGACCTCATGAGCAGCGGAGCCCCCCTGGTGGCAACAGAGAGCTTGTCATGAGGGTCACCACAGTCTGAGAGCAGGAAGCAAGAGGGAGGCCTTAACCTTGAGAGCCCAGCTGGAGGGAAGGAGAGGGAGCAGAGGTGGACACACATGGGCACGCATCACCAGAGGGGTGGGAGAGCAGGCTGGAGAGGGTACAGGATGAAGAGAGTCTGGGGGAGTGGGGAGAAGGATGCGGGGATGCCTTCATAGGAGTCCTCCAAGGCATCAGCCTGATCTGGTGCTAGGCCAGATGGAACGAAGGAGCCCTCTGGGCATTTGGTGTTTTCCAGGTAGTAAACTCTCCTTAACAAGAACAGAAAGAAAAAAAAATACAAATACAAGTAAACCCAAAACTTAAAGTACAATACAAGCTAAAGCAAAAACACACGGGAACACACCCACATGCAGACACATGCAGGCAGACACACACATGCAGACACACAGATGGACACACGTGCAGACACATGCAGGCAGGCACATACAGGAAGACACACAGGTGGAGACTCATGTGCACATAGAGACAGACACACAGGTGTACACACATGCAGGCACACAGATGGACATACATGGGTGAACACACACGTAGACACATGCAGATACATGCAGGGACACACCCAAAACCACCGGTGCAGGTAGTGCAGAGATGAGGGCCAAACTGGTGTGTCTGATGGCAGCGTTGTCAAGAGCAGTCGCTCTCTTGACACACACATGCAAGCATGCACGCGTGCACACATGCATACACATGCACGTGTGAAAGGAGATAAAGTGTGAAGATGATTGAAAGATGACAAGTATTTGTTGCCCTGTTTTGTTTCTATCTTTGGGTTTGTTTTGTTCTCCCCAGGCCATGGGCAGTGGACAGTGGGCAGGGGGCAGTGGGGAGGGACTAGAGGGTGGGGACAGTGGGTGGGAAGGGAGGGCAGGGTTTGAGCACATCTCTTGAGAGCCTTGGGCTCTTCCTGGCTGGCAATATTAGCATACTCATCTGCTTTTAGGGGGGGCATTAGGAAGGGGAAAGTGTTGACTTTAGGGAGGGGGAGGTTTCTTAGTGTGAGTGGTTAAAGGTGGTGAGTATCTCTCTGCCCCCTGCCTCAAAGACAGGAAACCCTATTCTGAGTGTGTTACCCAAAAGGTTTCGGTTTAGAGTTGGGCTTTGTTGTGCCCCCATAACTGTATTTTAAGGTGATTTGACTAAACAAATGTTTATAGGGGGAAAAAAAACCAACCAAGCACATGTACACATTTAAAACAATAACAACAACAAAACAAACAGAAAAAGTACAGCTTTTCTGTGGGTATCTCAAGCACAGTCCTGCTATGGTGTCAAACTTCGAAGTTGCCAATCCAGGAAACTAACCTTTCCAGCTAACCAAACTCTACCCAAGGGCAAGGGCAAAGCTAATGTGGCGCATTCCCCCGCCTTGGAATGATTGCACAAACCCAGGTCCCCCACCACAGAAGGGCACCCTCCTACCCCAAGGGCACCCTCCAGACAATTGTGTTAGGATGAGAGGTAGGTGGGAGCAGAGAGGGGAGAATCAGGCAAAAGTGGGGAGGAGAGATGGGGTAAAAGTAGTTCCTGCTGCTTGTTTTCCACCTGAAAAAGGCAGTTCAGACTTACCTCCATGCCCAGAAAATTGATGTATTACCTGCTCCTCCCCATACAGCCAGATGGTCCTGGTTGTCTGAGGCTGGTGGCCAGGCCACTGGGGTCCCTAAGAGCCTACGTGGCAGCCTAAGGGACCCTTGACCATGCCAGTCGCTACCAAGACTTGGGATTAACTGATCTACAGAGTTTCTTCTTCAATGCACAATGGCTGAGTCATCTATGGGTATTAACGGGACACTGTCAAGTACTTTTTTAACTAGTTTTTAGGGTTTTTTTTAACTCTCCATTGTTTGTAATATTCTCTTAAAAGCTTGAAAATAAAATTTCTTTCCCTACCACTAGTGTCCTTTTCCATTTGGCATACATGATCTTCTCCTCTCTAGTTCCCATATGGCATAAACACAAGACCTTGGGCAAGTCACTTAACCTGTCTACCTCAGTTTCCTCAACTGTAAAATGGGGCTAATAATAGCTTCTATCTCCTAGGGTTGTTGTGAGGATCAAATGAGAAAATATTTGTAAGACATTTATTACATTGCCTGGCATACAGTAGGCTCAATATAAATCTTTGTTACTACTACTACTACTACTATCACGATTGCCTTCTTTTGGATGATATCCAACTTATCAATGTCTTTCCTAAACAATGGCATTCCTAACCAAACACAATACTTGTGATATAATTTGACCAGGGCAGAATATGGTAGAGGTATCACATTCTTATTCTCAGAAGTCATGGGTCTTTTAACATAGCTAACTCTGTTTGCCTCAGTTTCCTCATCTGTAAAATGAGCTGGAGAAGGAAACAGTAAACCACTCCAGTATCTTTGCCAAGAAAACCCCAAATGGGGTCAGAAAGTGTTGGACATGACTGAAATGACTGAACAACAAAAAAGATTCCACTAGTTTTATGGGGTGCCTTATCACTTTGTTGCTTATATTTTAATTGCAGTTCATTAAAATTCCCAAATCTTGTTCAAGCAACCTTCTATTTAACCATACCTCTTCCTTCTTGTGAAATCGATTTTTCTCAAACCCAAGTGTGAGACTTTATGTTTATCTCTATTAAAGTTTCCTTTTATTATATTTAGTTCAGGATTTTATCCTGTAGAGATCTTTTCAGATCCTGGCTCTCTCACATACTATGTTAGCTCTCCTTCCCAGCTTGGTCTCATCTGCAGATTGGATGGGTGCCATCAAAGCCTTTGTCCAAGTCATTGATAAAAAGGTTAAGTGGCGCAGGGAGGACTAAGCAGGGATCTCTGGGATCCTGCAGTGGAAACCTTCTGCCAACTTGGCTTCAAACCATTATTGACTGTTCTTTGAGTCTAGTCATTCAATCAGTTCTGAATGCACCTAATTAGAAGACTGTCATCTAGTCCATATCTCTCCATTTTTTCCCAGAAGAGTAAGATGAGATACTTTGGTGAACGCTTTGTTAAAATCTATGGCTATAGTTTGCAAAACTCCATCTACACCCAGCACCTCCCTGATTTATTTGTTTAATGATCCTATCAAAAAAGGAAATGTGGTTAGTCTGGCATGATCTTTTCTAGATGAAGGAAGCCATGCTAATTTTTGGTGGGGATGATCACTGCTTCTTTTTTCTAGATTTTCATTAATCACCTCTATAATCATCTCTTCTAGAATTTTGCTAGGAATGGAAGTCAAGCTCATAGGATCCTATTATAGTTTGCAGCCCTATTGTCTTCCCTTTTTTAAAGAACTGGGACAAATTTGCCCTTTTCTAGTCCTAAAGTACTTCTCTTGTTCTCTATCATCTTTCAAATATCATCCATAGCTGCTCAGTGATCACCTCAGCTAGTTCTTTAAAGACTCAAGATTTCAGTTGATCTGGGCCTCCTGATGTGAATTCACCATAGGCATCTAGGAACTGTCTTACTTTCTTCGTCCTAATCTTTGGCCTCAATTCTCTATGAACCATTCTTGTTCTGTCCTTTCTGGTATGAAGATCATTCTCCTTGTAGAACTGAACAACTCTGCCTTACCTCTGCTTTTAATTATCACTCTCTTATCCACTTCTTGTGACTGTCTTTTCTCTTCTCCTACCCTACTCTTTTCCCCAATATAAGTTCAAAAACAAACAAACTCTGTGGTCCTTAGCTTTCTTTGCCAGCCTCAACTCATTCTGAGCTTTAAATTTTCTGATAGTATTATTACTGCACTGTACATACATTCTGTCCTAATCCTCTGTTTCCATCTTTTGTCCATGCTTAAAAAAAACCCCTCTAAGTTGGTTGGTGGATTCTTTGTGCATCTACATTAGACTCTTCAGACAAATCTGATTTTTCTTTTTTGTCAGAATTGTTTTCCTTTGTTTCTTCAGAATTTTATTCTTAAGAGTTTTCCATGGACTGACATCTGTAGAATTTTGTCCTTCCTGTGAACCCTTTGAAATCTGCTCTTCCAAAACCCAGGATGCATGTCTGGCTATTCCTGACTTTCCTTTCCTCTATCATGAACTCCAACAGGGAGTGGGCGCCTCATCCCCAATGAGTTCTCATCATTTCTACCCTAGAAACCAATTCTTCCCTGTTAGTGAAAATCATACCCAGAACATAATTTCCACTTGCCAGTTTCTCTACCCTGTGAAGGATGAAATCATCATTAAGGCAAGTCAAGAAGTCATTTGCTGCTCTGATTTTGGCATAAAGAAAACTCTAGCAGATGTCTGGTTAGCTGAAGTCCTAAACATAACTTCATCAAGATTACATGCCAGACTTCTGATCTATTTCCCAAATTCCTCCACTATTTTCTTTCTGTCCAGGTGGTCTGTAGCATACTCCACTTAAAAATCTCTTCTACTTTTCCCTCTGTTGCTCTTCATCCAACCATTTTCCACCATACTTACCCCTCTGGTTCCTGGATTTCCTCATATGTAACTTCTTGGTATATAATGCTACCTTACCCCACACCTATCTGGTTCCTCCTGAATCAGAATCATCTGTACAGAACCATATACCAGTTATAGCTTTCATTGTACCTAGTCTAAGTATACTTGAATAAAAAATTTCATGCTTTTGTTAGAACTTCTAGTTTGTTTTGTTTGTTGCCTAAACTGTTGGCATTTGTGGACAGATATTTTGAGGACAGGGCTGTTACTATGGGCCCCTTTCCTGGATTCTTATAATTCTTCCTTCTTTGTAGCTACTTTCTATGGTATTTTAGTTTGGTAGATATACATAGGCAGTCTTCTTCCTCACTCATCCATTTTAATTTAAAGTGCTTTTGATTAGATTCACAAGATACCAGGGAAATAGATTCTTACTAGCCTTTGTTAGGTACACATCATCACAGGCCAGGAATCTGTCATTCCCGTATTTTAAGCCATGATCCAGAAATCCAAATACTACCCTTAGGAACATCTCCTTAACCAGTTAATCACTTCCTGAATCAATATTTCTCTTTTGTATTCTTTGCCTGCAATGTGCAGCAAAAATAACACTTGTGCCTCTGTGATCTTCAGTTTCTTGTCTAAGATTTGATAATCTTTGACAATGCTTTCTACGTTCCCTCCAGCATCATCAACTGAGCCTAGGTGGAACATCGATGTTGATAGAAATCATCCATTTTGACAAGTTTGAGTAGATTTTCTGCACTGTCTTGGATACCCATCCCAGGAAGAAAATAGATGTTTCTACTATTGTCTTTGGGTCAATATTATCGTTGAGTATGGAGTCACCAACCAGCATACTCTTTTCTTTTTCTTCTGACCCTTACTGGATGATCCCACCTGACGCCTTCTGTAACTCTATCATTCCTCAAAAGACAAGTGTCTGTATCTTCATCAGTGTATCCACCTTCCTCCTCTTTAGAAAAAAATCTCATTTTTTTTTTACTTCCAAGTGTAGAGTTGTTCTTTTCCATCCTTTTCTTCTCTGATATTCTTCTACTCTCCAACCTCCTGGCATGTTTCCCCTCTGCCATTTTAGATGTTCTTTGATCCTCTTGCCCTTCTCTTCTAAGACTGGAATGAGCCTGTAACATTGGCCATGGCAGAAATACAAACATAGCACAGTGAATACAAGTCACTATGGAATTATCCCTGTTTTCTGTAGTAGTTGAGATTCTCAGCTTTGTTTTCAGAATTGCTTATGGATATTTACTTCTTGCCTCTTAGGCACAACAGTAAGACATTTAAAAGCTTTATTACTTCTTAACAACTTGCCAACCCCACCAACTTCCTTTCTCTTTGCTCAACAACTTGACACCCCCCCCAACAATTTGCCATAACTTTC